TAGATAAGATTTTGAAAGGGTTGAGAACTTGTCACCGCATCCCTGCATCCCTTTGGGATTATTGTGACAAACCCACTTTAGTTCCATAGGCGAGTAGCAGTTAAGAATGCCAGTATATTCTTTGGAGAGACGTTGCCTAATTTCGTTATAAGTGGATAGGTAATTGATAAGTACCAAAGCCATTCCTGTACAGCACTAGAACCTCCCTAGTTCTGGCTTTTGATCAATTCAGCATGAATTCTTAAGCTTATCTGTTAAGTCGGTAAAAGATCCATGAAGGACCGCATACTGGTTTTGGCCCAATATAATATAAGGCCGCCCCTTTTTACAAATTCACTGTGCTATGCGATGGAGCGTTCTAACAATTGTTAGTCAATACATGCTGTGTATGTAGTAGATATATTTTGTCAATGACTCTCATTAATTGGAAATTGACCCACTTATCCTCAATTGAACACGTTGTAGTGTTAAAATGAAATATATAACGCTTTCTCTATGACATTATTGATTGGAACGTAAGACATCCATGCTTTCAAATACCTTTTGATTTAAACATTCGCCTAACACTTGAAGGCACGGTTTGCAAATATCAACGGACAGTAACTATCGACCGTGACGGTAGCCCAAATCATCATAAACAGCAGTGGCTAATGTACGCTTAGAAAAACTCTGCTTTTAAAAATAGTTTCTATTAAAAAAGTTGTTCCTTTCGCCATAATTAAGTGCAAGAGAAGTCCTTGCAGCACTTCAGTTGTTTTTACCTCATTAAACCGCGTGAATACTGCGAGTTTTAATAGAGTTTTCTCTGGTCATTAGTTTATACAAATCCACTTAGAAAAAGTATATACTAAAATAAATAATTAAGCATTTTGTCTGTGAATACCCGGTTCTGGCCTCCGGAAAAAATGAGTTTTTAGGGAAGTATTTTTATGACAGTTTGTTGAAGTGTTCATCGGTAAGAACGAAAGATCTCTTAAATTATTAAAATTGGATAGGATGGATTAAATTTTTGTCTTTTTGTATCCTAAGATTTCTTGCAAAGAATGTAGTAGTAAACCGGCGAGAAATTAATTTTGGTCAACGAAAAGTTATTTGGTGACCTGTCACTGCAAGTTTTTGGAGGATATCTTATCTTCTGAAAAATAGTTGCGCCATAAGCTTCTAAAAAGTGTGGTTTATCCTAAGTAGAGTATTTTTTGTGACACTATATGTTGTTATTGTGACGAATAATATTAAGGTACTCCGTACTACCTACTGACAACAGAGAGCCACTGATCGGACTGTACTGGCTGGCGGATGGTACTGGACGGGGCCAAGGGCGAGTCACATGTCTAATGGCCAACTAAGGAATAAATGAATAAATTTGCAGATGGTTTTACACAACCATATATGTATATTGTTTTAGGAAATCATATATTATCAGATATACACAACTTTATTTCTTATGATTATTTTATTCGATTAACATTTTTTTCATTCCATGTACCTCTTCCACTACCTCGGTGCTTGTCTATGCCCAAGCTCACATATCAGTTATGTAGACTTTATTTCTTATGATTTTTTTTTTTGAACATTTTTTTTCGCTCCTTGTGCCTTTCCCTCTGCCGGGTACTCTCATCACATGTACTTACTCTATATATGTATGTATGTATATATGTGTGGAGTATAGTTTTCCGCCTTCTAACTAAACTTTGAAAAATGATACTCGTATTAAGCGTAATAACAAATAGTTTATTTGATACCCTACCCTAACCCTACATTTATTAACGCATTAACATACATAATGTCAGAAAATTTCTAAGAAATATGCTTATTTATTCAATTTTATCTATTTTATTTATTACATCTATTATAGACCTATAGACCTTTAACCTAATATTGCATGCTAAGAGTTATGCTAGAGAAATTCCCCAAAATATTATTGTTATTCAAGTATGTTAGGTCTACGAGATTATCTACTAATTTGCAACGTAACACATTGGAGTTTGAGTGTACCTATCAGTTTAGTATTTCCGTCTAATCAAAATTAAATAGATTGTTCATATAAACGCAATATTTTCTACCAAAATTTTACACAGAAGCCTATGTCATACAGGGTGTTAGATGGCTGAAACAGTTTCTGGGAAAGTAGTTAGTTGCACTAGTTCGATGGTTACACAGCTTTCCATGCTTTGAGTCGTAGAGGCCATCGATCAAACAATAGCACAATACACACACACCTACACATACAGCTACAGCTAGAGCTACATTGTGTAAAATATGTACGTATATATACCAATTCATTTCCCAATGGTGTTTACATTAAAACAAATACATTAGAGTGACCATCGGCAAGTCACTTCAACATTGCAAGCTAATGTTTTTTCAACATTGGCTACATGCATCTTGTTAGTATTTTATTAAAGTGTTTATAATTCAAACGCTTTCGTTGTGTTGGTCACCTTACAGAAAAATAATGATAAGAAGAGAAGCAGTTATAACTGCAACACGTGCTCGTTCGGCAGTTAGTTTTGTTTTTTTATTGATTCTTTTTTTGTTTTGTTTTTCATTTATTGCCACCAATCACACAAACACTTTGTAATGGACTTACACATGTACAATTACACATACATTATTGTATGAAGTTGAGGGTAGGCAAAATGTTACATTGCTGAGAGAAAATGTTGGTATGTATATGTATAGTTTTTTAACCAATAATAATAACAACAACAAAAAGTGCTTATCGCACTATAAAGTAGGAAAACCAATGTTTTGGTTTTAAGAGACTTGAACTTCAGCAAGAGACCTTGAATTTAACGTTCAATGTGAAGGTAAAGTGAAAGTAAATGTCCTTGTTAGCGATTTCAAAATTCTTACCACAATGCAATGTGTTGGCCAAAGGAGGGCAAGCATGAGAAGAACAAAGTAAAGAATAATAAAAAATAATAGAAAACTTTAATATTTGTGACCTTGGCCAATTCGTTGAATTTCTTGTGAAATTATTGTGAATTTACATACGTACATATGTATATATGCACGTGAACAAACACGTACATGTGTATATATCAATATATACATGTGTGTGTATGCAAATGAAATTGATTGTTGGTTTTATAATTTATTTTACTTAGCGCTCTAATTGTGATATTTGAAGTGTTGTGGCAATCCAATTTCTAGGGTTGATTATTTTTTTGGCATATTATTAAAAAATCATTAAATGGATTTTAATCATGAAAATCCGTTTCCCTTGCAATAGACCCATAAATCAAGTATGAGTTCGTCGGACTTGGGATCATTAAGAGCGAAAATCAGGCTCTAACCCATTTTTGTTTTAATAAAATAATGGGGACATAATACATAATAATGGGGACGTCTGGCAAAGCACATTTATCCATTATTTATTATATGGAATTCAACTTTGCACCTTCATTTTCCCCTTTTTACTTTATATGTATGTATTTCTTTATTTTTGATTATTTTTTTTAAATTTTTTCATTTGCTTTTAAACTTCATGTCAATAGAATATTATCTGATCAACCGAGATTTTCCTCATAAAATTAATTTGATTGTAATTAACAGTATTACTATCCTCCCGGCACGACTTCATCCTTTATATCGACTATGCCATCCGCAATGCGCGGTTTAAGCATACTCAACTAAAAAATGTCCTTCGTAGGCACAACCAGCTCAACTGCAAAGTTAAGCTGCTCTGCTATAAACAGCGCATTCGCCCCTTACTCACGTACGCTTTTCTATTTAGTCTACAATCTGCAGACCATCTTTTCGAGCGCAAGCTCCTTCGCGATTGCACCAATTACAAGCGCAAACCTAACGGCAAGCACTTTTCCAACTCCATTCTTCGAGACTCAGCTAAATTTACTCGCATCGACAAGTCCCTCCTCCTACTTGCTCAAAGGTACCTCAGGCGGCTGCACAACCTCAGCCTAGCCTGACATCTCAGTCCCTAGCACTCTCCAGGCCTTACGCCACAAACCCCCCCAATACCTGTCCCTTTACCTCGATAAATGGGACGCTGGTCCTTTCAACAACTCTCTCTTCAACCGCGGCTCTCGTGACCCCGGAACCCGGTACCGGTAATACCCCTGCGCTTGAGCAATAAACCCCTTCGCTAATACCTAATTTCTCTGCTTTACGTCCATGCTTTCTGGCTTAAATGAACCTAGTCCGCTAGATATTAAGCCTCTTGCTCTAATCTCTCTTTCTCTCTTGATAACTGGAATGGGTTTGTATCCGCTGCACGTGGTTGTAATCTTCCATATATCAGCTTATAAGGATATTAAATTGTGTTCCATTTTTGAAAAGTCAGCGATATGTAATGAGTAAAGTATAGGACAAAGTGACAAATCTTACAGAGCTCCAACCTCGATTTATTTAATAGTGAAAAAAAGTTTTTCGATTCCATGAATATATGATTTTTTTAAAAGTTTTCAGTGATTTCAAATTAGAGCGAAAAATATTGATTGTATGTTTTACTAATCAGATTCGCTATTAATAACTACTGATCCTTTCGAATTTAATTAAGTTACGTAAAAAGTTTCCGTCACTCTAAAAAATTGAAGGTTAGTGGACTCATATACCCGAAGACAAAATTGAGCATCTGAGATAAAGTTCGTTCTCTTCGGCTTCGTTCTCTTAAGCAAGACTTACATGCTCCATAGTTTTCCCAATGGCTGATAGCAAACAGTTGGGCGTTAGTTTTCAAGGGAACAACCCTGCGTTCCCTGATTTCCGAAAAAATATAATCGTGATTAATTGCACTAATAAAATCATTTATTGAGATATTAATATAAAATACCCTAAAAAATAGTTTGTAATGATTGTTACCTGTAATGGCAGAACTTTCTTGAAAGACTTTTCTTAGGTCTATATAAAAATATATATTTGTAAAGTTCGATAATAATTTTTAAATATATAAATAATTTTTCATTTCAACAAAGACAACATTGAATTAATATTAAAAAACTTAATCTCTTGTAAAATATTATTTCATTTATTTTTTTAATATATTTTATATGCTTTCATTTTGAGAGCTCAAAAAAAGATATATATTTTGTAGCTTTTTTATAGCTGAAACAGTTCTCTTATTTACACATCGACGCATGTATAAAGTATAAGAAAAGGTTTATGAGAAAACAAGATTTACTTACTGGCCAACATTTTGTGACTGTTGACCTTGTTAAGCTCTCTTCAACAAGTCCTCAAAATGGAGTTTCTATCAAATTATCGTTTCATGATGGAGCCTCATACACGGGATTTTCCGAATAACTTTACAAGGCTTCGATCCCGCGAAGACTATGGTATTACCGTTGAAAATCAAGTATTCAATGATGGTTCGCCGCCTAACGATAATATATTGCTTATAAATAATTGCTATTATGAAACTCTTAGCAGAAAGGTGTTAATGGCCTTAATATTAGGCGCATGGCGTCGTAGTCGCGAAGAAATTAAGAGTCTCTTAAACGCAATAATTGAGTTCAAAAAGGGCGTAAGTAAATTAATCACATTTTCTTATGGAATCACATTTCCTAAGCTAATCGGAAATGTGTTTAATTAGTAAAAAGTTTTGGTTTACCTTAGTTACTAATTAATCTCTTTCCTTTCTATGTATTTTCAGACATTAAAGTCAAGGAATAAATTGCATGTGTACTGCTCGCTATTCCGTGTCGAACAGAAGCGAAATGAAGAACTCACTCTTCAAATCAAACGATCTATGGAGACTATACATCAGACTCGAGTATCATACGATAATCTAAGCGTTTGTGTTGCAAAACTGAAAGCGGATAAAAAGATCTTAGAACAAAAATTGGTCCGAAAAACTAAAGAGATGGACACCTTGCAAAATCTATACTCTAAAACTAAAACAGATATGTTCCGAACAGTTATGCAACTTCGTTCACTCGAGGATGAAGTGGAAAATGAGAAGCGTAGTAAACTCTTAATCGATGATCAGAAAAATAAGCTTATTAAAGAGGTGTCTTCTAGTGTAAGTATTCATCTACTTTCAACATATATATATTTATACATATAACATATATAACATATATATATATTTCAATTATATAGAATTATGTAAAATTTATATTATTATAAGAATCCCATTACAAAATTAGAGGGTATTAAAAATAATAGTCAGTCATCTATTAGTTTAACATTTTAAAAATCCTATTGCCAATCTTGTCATAAAACTATATACTACTAAATAGAAAAGAACATTAATTACCGTTGGAATCATATATTTTATATTTCTGTATATTTCAGTATAACAGCTGATTCTTATTAAGTAAGGTTAGGTTGAGTTAGAACGGTAATAGTATTATCGTATAAAGGTTGAAGTATTTTGAATCATCTGACTCCTTTGTTACAGAGTACAGTCCTCTTTAAGTAAAGAACCTAACATCTGACCTAACCATCTAACAAACGATTTTTAGAATGCAAATTCCTAACATGTTTAATGTACGGTACTCAAATGATGGATAATGATGAAAGAGATGTCTTTCTCACAGCTATAGTGAGAATCAGTATAAGAAGATTCAATTTTCAAACCAATAACAGACCCGAAACAAATCCACCTAAAAATTGATTTCCTTATGGTCGGTGTCATTCAGATCAGTAGATTATTTCTGATTTAAAAAAAGTTAACTTGTCTTCAACTATCTGCATATCCGTTAAATCTTCCCATCTTAAACTTTAGTTAAACAATACAATGGTGGAAAGAGTTCAAACGTATACACGTTTCTAATAATTATTATAGGTGAATGATTAGTGAACACTTTTAAAGCATACTACTTCACTTGAGTTGTGCTTCTAGATCCATATCTTACCTTTTGGATTGATTAGGATAATTTCAGAGGTGCAACAATTGACAGATATATTTTCCAATTTAATTTCACCATATTGCGCAAATTTGTCCGTTAGATAAAGACTTTAAAGTTACAAATTTCGTTCAAATCAATACCAAATATCAAAAGTATTCTTTGCGCTTTAACCGTAATCTCGAGAACCAAGCTATATCAGTATATTCCATAGTGCAAAAGTTGTCGTGGTTAAATTATCACATCCTAAAAATCGCTGGACTTAATATTGTACAAAACTTAGGAAACATCAATAATGGGCCAATAGAGCTAAGTGGATCGATTCTTTGCATTGCGGTATTAACCTAGCATATCCTAGAGAAGATTAATATTTTTGATTTAAGATATTTTCATTGTAAGTGATCAGTGGAATTGGTTATTCAAAGGAAAGATCGTTGCAACAGTCTTTGATTAAAGGATTAATTATGAAATTGTAAATAATATATAATCGATTTATGGTTTAGTTTCCCAACTAAAAAAAATAGTGTAAACACTGGAGTTGATTCCTTAGTCTAAGAAACAAATCAAATCCTAATAAATCATGACTAATATTTTTTTGTCAGTAGACTTTTCTTTGGCACCCTGTAACTTGATGATATAGAAATGTCACCATTCTTCCACAATAGTTTTTCGACTGAACTATTCTTTTCACCACATACCATATATAGCATTATAGCATTTACTTAAAAAATCAAATATTGTTGATTTCTTTCTAGATTTCAGAAATAAATGCTGAATGTCGTTCCACTGAAGCGAAATATCAAGCAATAATAACCAAACAAGATGAACAATTAGATGAGGCCTGTAAGAGAATAAGAGCTCTTGAAATGGAACTAAAGGAGAAGAAAGAGTAAGTGAAAAAAAATATAATAAAATACTTCAATTGGGTGATCCAATTGAAATGCTACTTTTCAGATCCCTGTATGTTTTTACTTCATATTAATATTTGCTTGATAAATTTTTCAAATTCATTCAGAATTTTATTACAGCCGCCTTAAGTGCTAACTATGGCACTCATTCGGCCACTAAAGTGTCATAAGTTAGGTTAGGTTGTAGTGACTACCCTATACACTAAAACTCATTAAAACATCAATAACAGTCACCACAACTCATTTTAACAATAATAATAGTCTTTGCTGATAACACGAATGATCCACTAAGCACACGCCAGACCCGAAGGAACGTCTTAACAACAAAAGTTCGAAGCGGATGAACAGCGTTTCTTCAAGAAAGCGTCGTACACTATATGGAAATAAATTTGTGGAATTATAATCTTGTTATAATGATGTGCTTTCTTAAGTATGTCTACATTGTAGTATTTTTGTAGTACTTATCTTGGTCTAAACAACTATAAAATGTCCCATTATGAAAAAGATACGGATTTACATCCAGTAACTAGTGACCGTGACCATCATTTCGATAATGACGTTATCTCTCAATTTTTGTTAGTTGACATTTACTCTCTGTTTTGGTGCAAAAACTTATTGAAACATTCAGTCTCTTTAACTGCAAGAACTTTCTTCCAAAACTTTCAACATTCTCATTAACCCTGAAGCTACGATCCAAACATACCAGCGACTATCCTAACTATTACGATCGATGTGCTTGATATTTAACTTATTGCGGTCATTCGAATATCTCAATATTTGTATGATTTTTTTATTGAGCTTTCAACTAAACTCGATGATTTCTGTTTGTTTACGAATTTTTCTATTGAGAGTTTAAAGTTTTGTCAATAGACAAATTGATATTCAGTAAATATCCGCTCTAAGACGCTGCCATTTTAAACGCAGCCATTTATTTACCACTCTGAAGCGCGTTTCGTTCAATTTAAGTCGTAATTATCCGAACCACTTTTGTTACAGATATAGTTTCTTACTAATCACCACCAAAACATTTTCCCAAACTATTAAAATATTGCGTTACAACGTGGTATGAGCGAAGACCCGAATATGTTATTCATATTAAGGTGTTCGAGGGATCTAACTAAACCATTGTCAATTTCATTATAGAGTGATATGGGTGGAGACCTGAAAATCTCGAGGGGTCTAACAATAACCACTTGTGGTTTATCGCTTAAATTTAGACCTATTACACTATTAAGACTGAATATGTCGAGAACAATATCTTTTTCAAAATATTGACACACAAATGTCTAAAAGCATTGTAAACAGTTAAATCAATTATTATTAGGTAAAATATGGGCAAAATGTTATCACTTACGAGTCAATTGGGTCACCCTGTACTTCAATACATTAATATGTATTCTTATGTATATAACTTTCAGAAAAGATGAAAAGTTACAAGAATTTTCATCTAGTAACGCCCAACTTCAAGCTCAACTTAGCGAGTCTCGCGAAGAGGTCTCAACCCTGAAGAAAACCATAGAAGATTCAATAACAACAAAGTTGCGTTCATGCTGGAACACTGTTTGGTATCATCAGAAGTACGCATTTAACTTAGTTCACCTATTTGCGTACTATCTGCTACCAGCGACTCCGCCACCGCGGTTTAAATTCGTTCACGAATAGTTCTTTGGTAGTAAAAATAAAAAACTAAAAAAAAAAAAAAAAAAAAAAAAAAAAAAATAAAAAAACAAAAAAAAAATAAAAAACACAAAAAAAAAACCACAAAGAAAATTTAAGAATATCGTAAAAAAATGTTAGTAGTTATTTTGTTTATTATGAAAAATAATTTAAAACCACGGTTAATAAAGAGAAAGTCAGGGATGTAAATCACTCAAGGTAATTCAAAAAACTAATGGCATATATATATATCAAATGTCAAGAAGAAAAACAAAATGTGAAGATATTTTAAAATATTAAAATATTAAAATATTAAAAAAAGGACAGTATCATAAGAATTGATTGTATTATAAAGAAGAAAACCCATTTAACACTTAAAGATCCCACAATGTCAAAATTCAACACAGCTTAACACCACACTATAGCAACGAAAACTCATCTACTAAAGTTCACCACTCAAGCAAAAGAAACGAAAAATTTAAATTATAAAAAACGACAACATCCTATAAGTTATATTAATTATCTTTAGACAGAAAAAGCAATTCAACAATTTTCATGCAATGGAACCAATGGTGAGAAGCGCAATTTCAATACAACCCCACATCAAAATTCACCACTGTAAAAATTCAACTATTAAATTTATTAAATTTTTTTCTCAAACAAAAAAAATCTAAAATAAAATGTATTTCTTTTTATTTATATATTGCTAATTAGAAAATGATAAAAGAACAATTAAGTCTTTGGCAGTTCATCTACCAGACTAGGAAGAGTTTCTGTCTAAGATTTAATGCTTAATTAGCAATACTATAAATATGAAAAAATATAAAAAAAAATATATAAAAATTTTTTAATATTTATTTAAAACTGTTTAATATAATATTTGCAATTTTTTTTAATACAATATTATTATAGTAAAATATACGTTGAACGAAGTTAAGTACGATATATGTATCATATTTCTCGCCAATATCTGCAGAAACCAAATTAAACTAGCCACATTCACCTATTGCTATATTTTTTTAATACAAGTAAAGCAGAACACTTACTTACTTACTTACTCAAACGCCCTGGATCGGTTGGATCCAGGATGTCTTACCAAACGCTATATACGTGCCTTTTCCAGTCTCCTACATCAAGTCTCTTTAGTGGTGCTTTAACTTGAACACTAGATAAAAAAAGAACTACATGGATGAAATATATAAACAAATGCATAGCAGCGTACAGGTTAGTCATGTCTTATACTCATATATATAGTAATCTTATTCATTTCTTCCATGTGCGAAAATAGTTGGAGTACATGACGCGATTTTGAGTTCTCAGGCACTTTTATTTAATATTGAATTATAGTAGAGTCAGATATTAAAAGTAACTTTTTCGACTGCACTATATGCCGATATAACTTACTTGTAATAATATTAAGGTTTAAGGTTTTAAACTAGTCCACCTATTCCCCATCAACCTACGACACGCTCACTAGATATCAAGATTCTCGCGGCTTCAAGAATGATAGGACCAGAACGATTCTGTAGTTTAGGCAAAGGAACTCTATCCATTCCTATGAACGACGCAGAGGAAAAAGAAAGAGAACTCTAGTGGGAAAGGCTACCAAGATTATCATAACCTAGGGACTTTTACAACCAGTTTTTAGGGACTTACAACCTAAAACGCTTTAAAGATACCACAATCAAAAAATAATCTAAGAATCGGTGACTGTAGATTGAATAATCACCTATCAAAGTTAGTAATTCAATCCAACTCAGACTACAGATACTGTAGAGAAAAGATAGAAACTGCATACCATGTACTTGGCGAGTCTACGGCACTGATGCACAAGGGGAAGAAACATCTATGAGGGTATTTCATGGATTATAAGGATCCAAGACTAGGAAAGATAGGCTCTATACTGTCTTTTATTGAAGAAATCGGACTTGGAGAAACACAAGGTGCACAATAGATATTTTTGGTCGCAATGCACTATTCTTTTTTTTTCAATAATACGTTATATGATCGGAATTGTCTTTTCACTTTAAATTTTCAACATTTATATATATACACCCAATCTGCTGAGGTAGACATGGATATAGTTACAAAGAGGAGTTAAAAGATTTTGTGTCACTTTCCTTAGAACCTTGTCTATCTTAAGTCAACTATGTCATTTGGTAGCACTCCTACCATATCCTGAAATATAATAGATTTTAAAATGACAGCTCTCTTTATAGCATATAGCAGATCCAAGTACAGTGCCTTATTGGAGACCGGTTTGCCCGTGGCTTTTAGTTCCGAGATTGCGTCCTTTTATTATATGCATACATACATGAGTTAGTATTTTATTACACTATGACTCTTCAACCACTTTCATACTAAAAAGAAATATTTTAGCACAAATATTCTTTTGAAAATGTTTTGTATGTATTATAAGGATAACAATATAACTAATATTATAAAATAAAAGTTATATATTAAGTAATGGATATATATACCTTTGAATCATTTCAAATCAGTGTATCGTGGTGCCATCTCACGTTGAAACAATCTCAAACTCGCAGTTACATATCGTTATTAATTAAAATGCGACAGGTTTGTGTATTAACTAATTTGAAACAGTTGATAAAGACCGTAATACTTTTAAAGACCGTATAATTCTTTACGGCCTTTGCTATTTACACGATATTCGATTAATTGTTATTTTCAAAGAATTTATTTAAATTAATTTAATTAATTTATATATAAAATGAAATAGATAAATATATTATATATACAAATAAATTAATGTATAATTAATTTACATGTATAAATACAAAAATATGTATACAAATCAATTGAACTGCTTTAAAATGTACCACAGCCGAATCTAGTAGAATTGACAGCCAAGCAAATGGACAGACATTTGCAATAAATATCATTTGCAAATTTATTAATTACATATGTTAATTATTATTATTAATATTAATTTATTTTTTATTTCAGTTTGTTTTTCTACGTTACTCCAATACTAAATAATTCCTTTAAATTTTTTTTAAACTTCAGTGAAACCTACGGTATTAGATATGGGCGTCGTTTGATAAAATTGAATGACATAATTAAGCTATACTTAATATTGTAATTATAATTTAAGAAGTAATAGATAATTACAATAATACGCATAAAAATAATATAAACCTATAGTATTGTGTATGGGTGGTACTTAGATGATGAAACCAAGTACTCAAATACCAACGAAAGTGAGACGACAATCTTCTTAGCAATGTCTTAGTCCTCAAGTCAATGCTACACTAAAACTAGTTTGCTGGTTTTTCGGAAAGAAAATAGCACGGAAAATACATACATCAGCTGTTAGAGTTCTTCTTAAACTCTCAAGTTCTTCAAAGATATGAAATCAAACAATTTTGTAAATTCATTTGACTATATCTTAGATGAGTTCCAAGTCCAGAACTAATTCTCAAGACTGCTTTTGTAAAATTTCTTCAATATAAGCAATAGTTAGTTGTGGTGGAGGGAGGACGAATCCTCCTCAAATAGCTAAGGATGAAAACCGTTTTGAGTCCACAAAAACCTCGTAATAGTGGGTAGTAGATAGGGGGTCAAACTAGAACCAACCAGAGGCATTAACAAAGGCAAGAATCTGGCTAATGCTGATGCTGGAGATATCGCTAAGTGAGTTGAAGAAAGGGGCCCCTAGAAACTTAAACCTAGTTCTGGCCAGACTTGGACAAAAACACATCAGGTGTTCTGGTGTCATTTCTTCAAGTATTGGTAGACACTTTCTTCAAGTATTGGTAGTATATTTTTAAGTTTTTTTACAAAAAAGGTGGTCTGAAAGAAAAACTTGCAAAATAACGAAAAGATTGCCATTCTGATTTGATTCCGCGCGACTGAAACAAAGAAAGAAAATCGTTTCAATATTTCTCCGGTTATCCAAAAAGCTTCGCCCGACTGACAATGGGGAATAGATATCTGACAATGGCAGAATTAATGGATATGTATTTACGTACATACTAGCAAGAAGTTATTCGGTTATTATTGTGGTATTAGTTGGCCCAAAATCAAGCCTTTTATCAGTAATTGGATAAATGCCAAATTATCTTCAGATAACTGCTAGGCTTAAGATCTGATTAGCTCATTTGGTTACCAAGAGACGTTGCTCCCCAACAACACAAAGCTGAGGTTGTTGGCAGATAACGATATATGTTTATCGAAATTGATCGGCTATCATCCGTAATTGGAGAAAAACGAAACAAGAAGTTATATTATTACTAAATTTTTGGCTTTACGCTAAGTCTGAAGAAAAATTCTGAAGCAATAGATCCTGTCTTCATCAGACATCAGTCCAGTAAAGGACTGATTAATTGTTGGCTTTCATATGGTAGACTAAATGTCTTCTGTTCGGTTGGAGTAAGTTGTAAATAAAAAAAAAAATAACTGCCATACCTACTATTTTCATGCTTACTGGAAGCTTACTGGAAATATATACTTCCTCAGCAATACAGTGCAGAGCTCATTGGCTGGTGTACCTTGACTGATAACGTCAAAATATGCGTTAGTATTTTAACAAGACATGTCTGTCCGAGTTGACTGAGCATCGTTCCTGTTTGGACGATATATTCGTTATATGGAATATTCTGAGACTACGACTTTTGTCTCCATCTGCTTAACTAATAACGTATTGGTTTTCATACGGAAAACTGAGTGCCTCTTCTTTGATTGTGGTATTAGTTAAGAGAAAAAATACTTTCTACGATCACATTCTCTTTATTCACTGGAAACTTACAACTCTGCCTAACCCTTCAAATAACAAGGATCCTATCCAACTAACGAAAGTTAGAAATCTAAATTATTATAAAGCAGATAATTCCCGACGATGTCAAAAATTCTCACCACAGCATTCTTTTCCTGACAGGTCATGTTTTCTCGCCGAATGTGATTATGTCTCATTGCTGTTGATGCAGTTCAAGATGTTCTGATAGAAAAAGAAGATTTACAATTTGCAAGGCAACATAGGTATTGGGTTTCTCTTAAATTGCAAATTTCGTGTTTTTTTTCAGTATTAATTTTCTTCATTGCCTTATTCATAGGAAGTGGAGCGGTGACATCAAAAATCCATTTAAATGTTTTCGTTCAAATATTTGAAAAGTACAAGGCGAGAGTTTTTGTATCAAATTTATAATACCGGATTACTGATACCAGTAATCTAAAATGTTTTACTATTCTAAGCACATGTTTAGTTTAAAACTTAATTTTTTCTAATACATTTTTATCTGCATCTTTAATCTGATTTTCAAAAATATTTTTGGGATTTTGTGCATGTTTAGAGATTGATATCTTTGCCTGGTTTATTAGCTTTTTGTGGATAACTAAAATATACTTTTCGGCTTTTTAATATTCTTCATCCATACAGTATTTTTTTCTATAGATATTACTTTTTAAAATTAAGTTGCTTTTTTTCAAAAATTTATTGTCTTTTGTGCCTCAACTAATTAAAGATACGTACACAGATCCAGTTGGAGATGCAGTACCGTATTTTGTAGTACAGCCAATTTAGGTAAAAATCATGAGCTGTTATAATATCACGGATAAAGTGTTGACTGAGAAAACTATCAAAATAGAGAGAGACCAAAAGAGTCAACGAAATGTTACGGAAAACAGACATGACTCCTCCATTGAAGTACAAGTCAATCAATCTGACTAGTCCTAAAAGTTAACTACGTCCTTAATTTTAAAGCATGATGAGAGCGTTGAAAAAAGAGCTTCGAAAGATATTAAATCTGCTACTGAACAAAGATAGGCACTGACACATGAGATAAAACACAATTTCCTCCTACTCTATAGAGTCATAGATCTATGCCACTATAAAACGTAAGTAAAGTCTCATTGCATGTCTACCTTATAGAAAGTGCATATTAGCACCGTATTTCATTGTCCTAAGTAGGTTTTATTTTAGTTGAGATAACTAGTGGTGAGTAGTTTTTATAGTCTAACAAGAATCTATATCTACTCAGGTTTTTTAAATGACCGCTAGATATTTTTGTTTGATGACCGGTATGGAATCCCAATATACGGTATTCCAGATAATATATGGAAATACTCGTAAATATTCGCTACAAAAACTAAATGCTTATCTTAAACTAGTACTAGTACTAGTAGGAAGAAAATTCATATATGTACGTATAATTTGTAATCATTGAACCTCGAAGTTCGATAACTTTACAATAATTTATATTGCTCTTTTTCTTGATATATCAAATAATATTTTGTTGTCATAAATAAATCAATTTAGATCCCTGACACCATTAAAACACTTTTGACACCCGCTCGTAGGTACCTCACCCAGCTCCATGACCTCCCCCCTGACGTTTCTATTCCGATAACCCTGTCCTATTACCTCGATGAGTGGAACCGTAATCTCCTTTCCATTCCCCTATATAACCGCAGCTTTCGTGACCCCAGTCACAAAGATTACCGCTAACCTCGCCCCCGCGCATCTGCTATAACCCTACCCCTTGCTACAATGGAAAAATATCTAAAGTGTTATAAATCAATTTCAAGTGTTATACAGTAATCTCGAGTGTTATACAGATTTATCCATCGAAAATGAAAATTACAACTACAAAATTGTTAGATTACTCTTAAAACGTTCGATTGGGCAAAAAAAATTTATAGCTCGAGAGTAAATCTAGATTGGATCCAGATTTACTAATCTACTTATGCAACCTTAGAAATCCCTAGTTTACTCCTATGATTTTTTTTTATCATAAAAAGACAAAAAGAAAGTCAGTGCATTCTGCCACAGAAATTAAATTTTGATCAAAAATTCACATAATACCACATATTCATCTAGATGGCCTTGCTCGTCGATCTGAAAACGTAAATATTTGAAATAATGAATAACAGTTATTATAAATTTATTTAAAAGTGAAAAGTGTAAAAAATAAATAACAATTTTTATTCTTCAAAATTCTTATGTGGATGTTTAGCTTTTTTTTAAATGTTTGCGCAAAATTTTAAGTGTTTTCTTTATCTTTGTTCAATTTATTAATGAAAAAATGAAACCTTCACAACCTTTTCACAACTATTTAGCTGAGTACAAGGCTTGTAATCCACATTTACCGCCAGTGGAAATTATCCGGGGTGCTATACGTGCATGGAATTCTTTGACCGACGCACAGAAAAGTACATTCGATTTCGTGGAAGAGGAACGTAAAGTTGAGGTATCTGCTAATCCATCACAGCAGGTATCGGCTAGTCCATCACAGCAGGTATCTGCTAATCCGTCACAAAGTACTAATAAAAAATTGGCAGAGTAAGATTTATTAAAGTACATTCCATATAAACTAACACATATCGGCAAGAATAAAAACAGAGGAGGGAAAAAACGTAAGCTTACTTATACTAAGACTTATAACAACGCCTTTCAATAATTAAACCTCTTCAATATATTACAGCTTGAACAAATTCCAACTTTGAAATCACAAACTATCTTGTCGCAGCAACATATTGATCAAATGCGATCATTTTGCGTAAGTAATCAAAAAATGTTTAGTATATATACCTGAATTATATAGTCTATGGATCTAATTAAGACTTGGAAATAAATAAGTATTTATCACTTAAATTGGAAGGTTAAATTGGACTAATTGAAAATGTCATAACGATGTTCTCAATACCGTTTTCGATTGGTAAATCTAGATTAATGTCTTTAATCGAGATTCACTTAATTAATCGAGATTTCATTTTCTATTGGCAAATCTCGAGCGAAATTTATAACACTTGAGATTAATTTATAACACTCTAGATATTTTTCCAGAGTAGCAAGATTGCTCTGAAATTAACAGCTGTTTTATTTGACTTCACAAATAAATTGTAATATAATTTACAAAAATATAAATGTCTGCTAACACTACTACAAAAATGTTGGATTATTCTGAAAATATTCCAAAGTTTGGCAACTCAAGAGCTAGCTTAAATCCAGTATTACTGGAAAGACTGAAAATTATTTGAAAGTTTCAATAAAACTCAAAATGTGTGCTAAGATCAGATCTTTTAGATAATTTTGTTTCACTTAAGAAGTAAGTCCCAAGCATGCTTCTGCAGAAATGGAACCAGAAATGGGGTAAAATATTAATTCCAACACACAAGTTTTACTTTTCCTGAAGCGCCATTCCATTTATCCAAAAATTTCGATTGACATTTTCTTTATTTTATTAAGAGATTTGACCTGCTACCTAGATTTCTATTATGCCCCCTTTATGGAGCTAGAGTTTTTTTCCAACTCCAACTAACTTTATAAATTGTAGTTTTTAACCTACATTATCAAATTTTATTTTCTCATCCAATATGAAGTGTTCACGTCAATACTTCTTTTATTTATTTATCCTTACCAGGAAAACTGCCAGCAAGTGTTTTGAGATTTCATCTCACCCCTATAAAACCAGCTAGCTTCACAAGAATAAGTTTTTAGTTCAATAAGTTAATGGTTTAACCTACAGTACTCTGTCAAAATTCCTATAATGATTTTTAAATTTCTTTAATCTTTTAATGATTCTTATATTATTTTTACTTTGTGGCATACCATTCTAGTTCGAAAGTCCCTTCAGTATAATTTTCTTTGTTTTTTTTTTGTACTCTTTTTGAATAGGTGAGAAGAAATTACCTCTTCTCTAGCCACAACATGATGCAGAGCCTAGCATGGCTGCCCCTTCTCTTGCAACTTTAGCTGTAATTTCGTTGTCAAACATTCGTTCATTGTAATTCCAAAGTGAACCCGAAACCCATAAGATCCATAACTGATTGCTTTGGCCAGGGATATTCAGCTTTTGAAGGTACTTCATCACCAGTCTTGATGTTACCTGATGAGAATTGAAAGATGAAATTAATGACTGCAGAGCTATCAGTTAAGATGTCTTTTCAATAGTTCTATTGGTTACATTTAAGGTTAAAGCATACCTTAGGTGATAGACAGGTTTGTACTGTCTATCACCTTAATTTCTGTTTGAAAGATAGTTGCGTTTTCACCTAGCGCTTACGGGTATTTTAATTCTGCCTCATTGACACTGGCTCCGAATCCTTCTTCAGTGAGTTCCCCCTTTGGGTAAGCGATTAGAATACCCCCGAGATAAGGGTGCTAATCGTAAAAGACGTCAAAATTCCTGCGTTATGCCGACACTATCAGAAAATGTGCATGGTAGTAAGTGATAAGGCACTTGCGACATCCAATCGGAGGTGTAAATCTGGTACTCCAGAGGTCAGGTGCCTATACTTTCGGGTGTCCTGACCAACTGAAGTTGGCAGTGTTGTAGTGGCTGGATAAATGTTTCAACTATCATCATTCGGCGTGACGTTGCATATTCATCACCGGGTGCTGTGTCTCAAAGATTAGCAAAGGTTTAGATGGGCCTCACTCCTTATCGAGGAGGAAGTTATGTCCTCAATATTTGACTTCATCGGAACCAGCGAAATTCTTCGGAATTTCATTGGAGTGTTGATTTACGCATTGTATTAATAAGTGTGTTTTTGAACACCGTGGTGTTGGGCCATCAAAGCAGGTTATCACGTAAATAATTCTAGACTCTGGACTCTTTCCTCAGTGAACGATATATATGTATGTATACGAAACTATCACAACTAGATTAGATTAGATTTGATTTGAATTTGATTTGAAATTGATTTGAATTTGATTTGAATTTGATTTGATTTGATTTGAATTTGATTTGATTTGCCATTTCTGTTCAGCATTAGAAATATATTTCGAAAAAATCGTTAAAGGTTCCTTACGCTATTTTGAGTTGGAAGAAGACTATCTTAAATAAAAAAAAAATAAACACTTTACATTTTTACCGTGTCTGGGAAAGACTATGCCAACTATCTTTGTATATTATATTTTTGCGAAAAGTCTTTATATTTTTCATCTAAATTGATTGAAATTATATACAATATATTAATTATTAATTCCCTTTATATTAACTATCGACTAAAGTAACATTCAAATAGAAACTCCATATAATACGTGTGGATAAGTTAAAGGGTATTAAACTGAATCAGTGTCTGTTAATGTCAGAGCATACAAAATGCAGTAATGAGAAAGAAAAAGTAATCAGTATAAATCACCGCCAACAACTCGCCTAGAGAAAATATAGTGAGATAGGCAGATAGACATGGAGATAGACATACAGAGAGACAGACAGACAAACAGACAGACAGACGGATCGATAGACAAGCTTGGCTTACTGCGAAGTTAAGAGTTAACAGCCAAGCTAGGTTAGCAAAGAGCGCAAATATGTTTAAGTTTACTTCTTGTCGGTTCAGTCTTAAACGTTTTATCAAAGCCAGCGGACGTGAAATGTGCCTTAGAAAAAACCATTGAAAATCTCAGACAATCGAAAATTAACAATAAAGCCGCGCCTGTGCATACGAATTCGTATTTAAAATTGGTGAAATTTTCAATAGAAAATAAAAACATTAAAATAGAAAAAAAAATACAACGAAAACGAAAACAATTCTATTTTTTTTTTTTTTAATATAAATTTTTTAAAGACATCCACTGTTTCTACTGATAAAATTGTAGTTAAGTGATGGTACTTTTCGGGACCCAATTGTGGTAGATCTTTTATTAAAAGCGTGCTGTTGGAGAATAATATATTATCATTCTCTAACATAGTTTTCATATAAAAAATTAGATTATTATTTTTAAAATTAAATTATAATTTTTAATTTTTTTATTGAATAAATCTATTAAATATAACACAACAAATAATGGCAACTAATCTTTTACACATGGAAGATCCTCTTTATGCCGTCTATCAATTTTTGTTGGATTTATTAATATTTTCCTTGAAATCAATTTTCTATATATTAGAATCATTATATTACACGTTTTTACCGGACAGATTTCGAAAATTAAAGGTAAGGAACAGATGATAATAAGCATAAAAATGATTTATTTAAAATAATAACTGGATTATCGCCTAGTAATCAATCGCTTTTCACAAACAAGTGTCCTTGTGATAAGAACCATAATCTTCATACTTTCTTAGAGTTTTAAAAAATAATTCAAATTTCATCTATAAAATTCATCTATAAAATAAAATATAAATGAAAAAAAAATATAAATAAAAAAAAAATAAAAATAAAAAAAAAATAAAAATAAAAAAATAAATAAAATTCATCTATAAGATACGAGTAATATAATTTTAATAATCAATGAAAAAAAATTAATTTAACTTACATCGAGGCCTGCAATAAAGAACTGTTTTAACAAGAAAACGATAGCCTTAAAGAGAAGAAGTATTCATCTTTTCTACATCGGGATCTGCAGTAAAGAACTGTATTAACAAAATAGGATTTGTTGAAAAAGAAGAAGCATCCAATTCTGTAAAGAAACTTTTAGGCTTTTGAAGAGTAGCGAATAGGACACGTTCTAGTAACGATAAAACACTTTCTAGAAGCTTAACCGGCACTTTTGCATACACATATAAAATACCTAGTATCTAGGAGGTGGGAGGTAGGTATCTTAACTAGTTGAAAAAATAAAACCCGGTTACTTACTAAAACTTTTTTGATGAAATTTGACTCTTTATTTATGAAGGAAACACAATAGATCTTTAGGCCACAGTGTAAAATATGGAATATTTCTTATTTATTTTTTTTTTCATAATATCCATATAATGAATTTAGTGCCTTGAATATTGTTCGAACTTTTAATGTTCGAGTACGACCGAATATTTTTGTGTTCGAGTACACTCGAGTATTTTAATGTACGAGTATGCTCAAGTATTTTAATGTTTGAGTTTTCTCGAGAATTTTAATGTTTGAGTACACTCGAGTATTTTAGTTTACGAGTATGGTCGAGTATTTTAATGTCCGAATACGACCGAGTATTTTAATGTACGAGTATGGTCGAGTATTTTAATGTCCGAGTACGATCGAGTATTTTAATGTTTGAATTTGCTCGAGTATTTTAATGTACGAAGCTTCGAGTATCTAAATGTACGAAAAGTTTCGAATATATTCGACCATTTGGATTGAGTACAAGGAGCCGTTCTAATATATTTGAAAAACATACATATTGTGCTCTTAAAATAGAATATGTGTCCTATGAAAAGAAACATAAAGTTGATTTGCAATTTGAATAGCGTGAGCATTCCCTAACATTTAAAGTGTTTATCCAAATATTCGAAGTTGAGTATACTCGAACTTTTCGAACGATTTGAAACACTGATATTTAGACTTTTCTTACCTTTCTTATTCTTTCTTATCTTTCTTATATACTTATCTAGTTTTATCTAGTTTTATCTAGTTTAACTTAAACGGTTCAAAGCAACTGTTTTTGGGGAACACCTAATAGAAATTTTTATTATCCAGTTTAAAAATTATATTTTATATTTTTATATTGATAGTTGAACCCCTCTTCCCCACTTAGTACCGCCGTCCTTGCTTATATTGGACATGTGAATTTATTTTACTTTTTGTCGTTTTTTATGAAATAAAGCTCATGCATATTTTTCATTACAAAAAAATGTAT